ATTTAATAACCATCTGTAATATAATTGATTGGAAAACAAATTTGTTCATTATCTCACTCTCTCTGCAAGAAATTTATATTGAGTAAATATTATAGACAATTGAAGGTGACCGTTTGAAATGTCATTCCCCAACTCTGTTGTCTCCCTGTCACTAATGAGACCACGTTTCATTCTGCCAGAAGCAGTCATAATGATATTAGAAAAACTATAAACTACACAAACTTGCTGTAATTATCTCGGTAATGCTTATTTTCCACGAATTACTTATAGCATTTTAGATAATGTTAATGCCATAAAGTTATTGGTATTATTAACAGTTTAGACCACTCTATGACGAATACAGAAGAAGTTTAGAAAATTACAGCCATGCTTGCTGGGAATAGTTCTAGTGAACAGTAGAGCAGGTATTGGCGCGGCAGTTGGCTAGAGTGCACGTTCTGTGGCGTGAAATATGTACACAAGTATTATAATTTAATTACATTTCTAGGAAGCAGAGGCGCTACAGGTTACTCGTAGTACATCGGACATGGAGTCGTGGATTGCTCCAAGCGTAGGTTAGACAGATGATTGGTTCTGGATCATACAAACAGCAACTGTCTATCATTGGGCCCTAGGTCTTAAGTTTAGTCTTATCCACTTGCATTTCTTTTTTTACACAGCAATGTGCTGCGACCCTATTCTATGAGGGGTTAGAGTATAGTCAGCTGTAAGTTCATTAAATCCTCATCGCCGGTATTGTTACAGGGTCCTCGGAGGAGCCTGAAGGAATTAATGCTCTCGTGGGCAACAGGAAGTTCCTCTGTCGATTCTTCTGATCGATTATGATCGGTGTTCAGAGGCGTGCTCCTCCATTCCTCCTTACTTAGTTGTGTCGTGTACGAACCTGGGTAAGAAGCGGGTGTGCGCAGGCAACGTGAAATGTAATGTTCTGCTTGGGTGTCGCTGGGAGGGCGGGCGTCCACTGTTACGCTTTCTTTTAAGTGTGGGCGGGATGTAATGTGAATGTACGTGGGAGGAATTAATTGTTGCTACAATGCGTGTGAGAGCTTCACTTCAGGCGTGAAAGGGTTTTTGGAATTAAATTTAAAATTGTACAATGAAAAGTAGGTTGAGCTTGAACGGAGTGTAGTGAGGAAAGGCCAGCCAACACCTAATATAAACACGTACCTCTGTCTCGCTATTAACGGCACAATTGCTTCTTGCACTCAAATTGTCGTTGCGCCTGGTGTTAATTAGATGCGTGTGTGCTATATGTGCCCGTATGCGAGCGAGGGAGTACGTGATGTAGTGTATACTGGGATGAAAAGATGACTATGTAAGGAACGACTTGGTAGGGACCGATATGAAATATATTGAGCGCAAAGATGCAGAATATATTCTATCTTAACCACAATCACGAGTTCAATCATTCGCTCCACCGCTCAGTCATAATGAGTCAGTTATAGATGTATGTTCTTAACGAGATGATTTCTAAAGAGGTTTTGTCTGATGGCCGTGTGGCGGATATGAAACACTTTCCCTACTTCTCGTGTATCTTGAGGAACGCTTCACACAAGGTAATGCCGGCCTCTTGCTGGATTCGCAGAGACCCAATTCTCACGCGCCTCCATATCCACAGAATTTGAAAAGTTCTGCCGTAATAATGTTTGCGAGCGGTTACACCATGAACACACGACTGGATAGGAAAGTGGTCTGTGTAAAGAGCACGTTTATGTTTATATGCTGGCCGACTTTGGAGGCAGTGAGAGTAACGAGAGGTCGGACGGCCCACGGCTCATGAGGGCGGTCAGATGTCGCCAGTAGTTTTACTGGCGAACTTCGACTACTACTGTGGGCAGAGCCTAGCCTTACTTTTTATATAAAAGTAAGGCTAGGCTCTGCCCACAGTCTCGGAATATTCATTACACAAGACGAACAGTATCATTAATGCACTTGCCGGTGCCACCAAGATTTGGGGGGGGGGGCTAAAATAAAAAATAATCTGTAAAATAATCTCTCGTGTCCAACCACTGGGAGGGGGGGGGGGAGGGTGCAGGTACATAATAACCTGCATAATAACCTGTATTTATCCTCAACACGGCGTCTTGGGACTTCATTAATGCTGACATTGGCAAATGCTCTTCAGTGATAATAATGATAGGTTTCTTAATCTGGTAAATGGAGAACAGGTGTGCATGAGGGGGAAGTGGAAGAGGGGGTGGAGGGGGTGTGGGAGTGGGAGGGGAAAGGAAGGATGACGGGGGGGGGGGGTGGCCACCACATCTTCCCTTCTTCACACAAATGAATGCAACATTATGTACTGGTGCTTCCAAAAAATGACACTGAAAAATTACGTCAATGTTATAGCTTGATTTTAATTAATCTTAATATTCAGAAATAATTGTTGTAAGAATATTAGTACCCATAATAAAAGCAGGAAGTTAAGAAGAGCTTACTTTCACGTATCACTGAATAATAATAATAATAATAATAATAATAATAATAATAATGGATTGAATGAAAACCAAATATATGGAGGTAAATTTGTCATTTGCGTCGCATTGAAGTCTCTCACGGGCTCAATCGCGCCGCGAAAATAAAAGTAGACAAGTTCATTGTGACTCCGAATTGTCTTATTATTTAAACATTCTTATTTTGAATTGTTTATTCTTTACTGCATTTTTTGTATTCCTACACCATTATCAAAATTTTGGGTTAGGAACTATTAGTGTTTTTGAACCTTCAGTACTTAAGACATATATCTTTACCTGAGTAATCACCTCTCAATTTATAATGTAGTTATTTGTTGATATAAAACTTTACTGCCTTTCCAGCTTGCTTGATATGTTAGACCTGCCCGAGACGTCAGAAGTGTTAATGGCTTTGCAAGAATGTAAAAATACCAAACTTGTGTAATCTCACAAACCTATTGTACCTTCTTGTGAATAAGTTATTATTATTAATTATTCAGTGACAATTGTTACGTTTACAAAAATAAATTGAAGATTAGTATTTCCCCCGTGATCATCATTGAATATTCATAGAAAATATTGCGAATGTAAATTCTTGAATTTCCGAACATAAGTACATTATATAGGAAACTGCAGGTATATACCAGGCAGCTCCTATAATATATAGATTATTTTATAATCTTACTTTATTTTAGACCATTCTTTCCAAGATTTTAGATTCTTCCAACTTTCCAAGACCATTTTTTTTCCATTCTTTCCTTCTATACAAGAAAACGGACAAGAGTAAAGCAACTGCATGACATCCGTGGACGTGTATAGTGTATTTTAGGGGGAATTGTTATCGATTCGTATAAAACATTTACCGCGGTTGAGGCAAAATTGTATTCTTGCATTGGCAAGATAATATTTTGGTCTGAGTAGCATTTGGCGCAGTTTTTAAAGTCTCACGTCTCGACAAAAGTAAAACAAGTTTGTATAATTTACCAAGGCTGATTCTCACACTCGCAGCAAGGCTGACTGGTATTTTTTTCTGTGGCCGGTGATAACCAGTGAATGATGAGAAGAAAGTGACTTGTGTTGTCAAGGATGCTGCCGGACCCTGATTACTCAGATCAGGAGCTGGAGTCCCATGAAGCGGTGCAGGGCCGCCTCCACCCAACCTACGCTCGACCTCGGGACGACTTCTTCGCCAGTTCCCAACCGGATGTGTGTCCATCCTCCTCCAGAGACCTTCAAGTAATTGTAGAGTACGCTGATGAGGAAGAATTCCAGGAGCATTTGTGGTCTGGGGATGAAGTACACTCTCGTGCAAGAAGATATCAAAATAGTGATATTCCTTTTGAAGCCAGAGGCGTAAAATGTCAAAATCGCGTCGGGGGACAAGAAGACATTTACTTGGATAATTTCGGGTACAGCGTTCCCGGGGAGTTGGAGAGTGATCTCCCCACAACACAGAGGAAGGCGTTGAAGGTAGTTTGTAGTAGTACAGGGGCCAGACCATCGACTCCTGTGCTGGCTCTGCGCAGTGACGGGCTTGAGAGTGATGGCGGCAGTTTCAACGACAGTGATGTGGACAGCTTCGGGAGAAAAGACTCTAGCCGCGGCCTGGAAGAAGTATTATATGATTCTCCTCAGAACCTGTACGATCCCTCCATCCAGTTCTTTCGTCCCCTCCTGCAGCCTTCCATAGCTCTCGATAATAGACGCCAGCATTTTACTTTGGAGGATGAGGATGATGTGTATGACCCCTCGTTGCCACCTATTAATCTAGTGGATGAGCAAGAACAGTCACGAGGCCTCAAGTCTGCCCTAAAGGGCAGCGTGAGGTCACAACTGAGTGATGGGAGTGACCTGAGCGAGGTGACGAGCGTGAACCCTGGCCTGGACGACTGGCATGACACCCTAGGAGCCACCTCTCGCCTGGGATGGGCCCTCATCCTCTATCACGCCGTCAGGAACAACTTCAAGCCTCACGCTTTCGCTCGCTTAGCTTTCCAGGTAGTGTTGACCCCCCTTTTGCTGTCCTCGTCCTCGCCTCCCACGTGATGCTAGATGTGGTAAAAATACCTGACATATCAAAGTTGTGATCATGTACATGTTCTGTAAACACGTGGTTCATCATCTAGGACTTAACCTTTTCAGTATTCAGTTACTATTTAATGTGTTCCACTCGTATTCAAGTTTAGTTTTTGGCAGGTGTTTCAGGTAAATTAGTAATTATCCAGTTTAATTTATGGTTGTCGTCCAAGTGTTAACAGAAACGTGTAGTAAAGACTCGTCATTGCATGGTCAGTTTTTCTCTAGACAAACTTGTACAATAAACGCAAGTGCTGGTGTGGTGTTTCCCCCCATCGTTGATCTTATGGTCGACAGTTGTGTATTAGGTTATCATATACTATTATAGATCTTGCTTATCTATTCTAAATCTCCCTTGGGCTCCTAAGCCGTTGCTTGCACCTTAATCTCGTTTTGGACAATCCTTTGGTCCTGCTTTTGGCACCTTGGCCCCCTTGTTTCCGTCAACCAATATTGACCAGCTTTTTATTTTAGGGAAGCAAGGAGTTCGTCCGGGCAGTAGCAGACTACATTACCAGGGAGAACACGCTCCTCAGCTTCAAGAAGGGAGATATCATCAGGGTCAACGGTGCTGATAGATATGAAGATAATGGTGAGTTCAGAGTTATCATACTGCTAATGTGTGTGTTTAAATGTGTTGCATATTTATAGGTTGATTTTCTTCTATGTACATTACAGTCTGGAAGTAGAGAACTTCTAGGACTGAAGCTTCGCATTGGAACACCTTAACTTTGTGCCAGAAATTAGCTTCCAGTAATCACGAGGGCTGGAAGTTGGTTGTAATGCTTTTCCTTTATTCAAAGAATTGTAGCTGGTATGTTTCATTCTCTTGGATATAATCTCTTGTGGGCCTGTTGGGCAACACCCTTATGTTATTGCCTTTATTAATTATTCTGGTTGGATTTTTTTTAACCAGAATAACATCACTACTTAATTTATTTGCTAATGTGACAGAAGAATAGTTTTTTTTTACCTGTGACAGGCATGACTGACTTCTTTAGTTATGCATGCAATATTTAAGGCTGGACCTTTGTGTTCTTGCATATCAATCTTTGCAATTACTTGCATTTGCAATACATAATTTACTCAGCAATAGCATTCTAATACTAGATATTGTAAATCATATCAATTCTATTTTGATAATTGTACCGATTCATTGTGGCTATATTTACTTGGTACAATCATGATTTTCATCGTCACAGGATGGCTGCAGGGCACCTTGGATGGCCGCACAGGACTCTTTCCTGTTGATTATGTCGTGCCAATTGCCAGGTCTGAAGCCAGAAATGCTGCTGCAGCTGCCGCTGCTGCTGCTGCCGCAACTACTACTACTGCTACTACAAACAATAATACAGTTACGACTAATAATATTACGAATGCTGTTGTTGCTGGTACCACTACTGTTGCCGCCCACACAAAGGTAAAGAAACGGGAGGAAGTTGGGTAAAAATGAATGTACAGTATTTGAAGATGACTGTGGCTAAATCAGATAGTCATGGTAGTCATTATACCAATGCACTGGGTCTCCTTGGCAGAATAAAACAAAACTTGGACATTAAAAAGTAACTTGCATCGATTTTACTAGTTGATTAGTAAATTGTATAAATTCTTGATACTGACATGACTTTTTATATTCTCAGGCTGATATCATCGAAACAGGACTAATAGAAAATGAGTCTGAAATACGCAGTGGTATCGGTACAGGCACATGGACACAGCAACAGGTGATGCACTCCAACACTCTCCTCCACTCCCACCACGATGACTCTGGCCACTCCTCGGGTGGAGAGGGAGGTGGAGGGCCCGGCAGTGGAGGAGGTGGCAGCCAGCCAGTGGTGCATGATGGCAAGCATTCATTGTTACAATTTGCTCTCCAGCATTTCAGATTATCCAAAGAACAAGGCATTGTGCAATCTGATGGTACACTTCAGACAAACAAAAAGAAGAAGAAAGGCAATAAAGACAATGTTGCACAGTGGACTTGGAAGGATCAGGTTTGTAATCTTGTTTGTTTGAACTCTGCCATAATGATGCAGCATAGTTAGAAAAGGATGCCCACTGTAGTACTAGTGTGTATAGCAAAGCACTGTAGTTGATGTGGTTTTGTCATACTAAAGACATGGACGATAGGATGAAGTGTCGGTGAATTTGAGGGTTGGAAAAGACAAAGGTTAAGAAGCAGAAGGGAAGACAAGAGTGTAAGGAAGCAGGGTTCAAGTCTGAATAACCTATGGGATAAGGTGGAGGGGAAACTTGGGCAAGTTTGAGGGCGGTAACAAGTACTTTTAAAAAGTGAAGGATGCATGCAGTTTGAGTTAGTTCATCTTTAATGCACCCCATACACATCCTTTGGGCTAGTAGTAGAAAGGGCAAATTTTTTATAAGAAGGAAAGTATCTCTGTTTTAAATGATAGATAATTGACAAACCTTATTAACACTTGCAATTATTTTCAATGTTGCAGACTGAATAAATGTTTATTGCAAATTGGTAAACACTAAATTATTCTTCAGGTTGAAATGGTAAAGTTCAGCCAGTCTCCAATTTCTGCCTCTCTACTGCCACTGGAGCCAGAGCTGAGCCAGATGGCAGTTGAGAGCTTTGTGGCAGTGATGCGGTACATGGGAGATTATCCAATGGCACCACAACACACAGAGGTTCATTGTGTCTACACAATTCTCATGGTTAGTGAGCAATTGGGCATTTTTTTTTCCTTTTTCTTGTGGCGTGGATTATTTAAGTATTGGCATTCTTCTTGGTAATTTAATTATTTTCATTATTTATGTAACTTTACTGAGAATATTGAAGTTTGGTTCTTTATCGAGGTTGGTAATGCCAATTAGATCGTATTGCCTTCAGTATGACCATGACTTGGTATGTAATTTATATATACTGTATTTAATTACTGCTTGCTTGTACAGAGACTATCAATTACAGTATTTTAGTTTAATATGCATACAAAGTGTATTTATTTACCATTATGGAATAGCAATGTTCAATATTTTCTTTCTCCTACCATCTTCCTTTTGTTTGTGTTCAACTTGAGGTAATTTTATTAAGAAATTGTGACATTAAAATGAGAACAGATACTTTGACTTGGGTGAACAAGGGTATGTGTAATGTTGACCATCTTCAGTAGAAAATTGGATAGTGTTTATCTTTATTACAAGGTACTGTATACAAACCGTTTTTAATTAATTTTCCCCATGCCAACAGAACTGTCACAAGCACCATGTGTTGAGAGATGAAGTGTATTGTCAGATCATGAAGCAGACAACGAATAATAAATCCTCCATCCCAGACTCTTGCCAGAGGGGGTGGAGACTCTTCTCCATTGTGGCAGCTTACTTTACTTGCTCAGAAAACCTTAAGCCCTACCTCTTTAAATATCTTGAAACGGCAGCGTATGATAAGAGAAGAGCATATCACGGTGAGCATTTCTTCTGACCTCTAGTTAACTTGAATTTGTTTTTTGGCATCTGGACATGGAAAGGTTGTTTTGGTTTGGTTTATGCATTTTCATGCAAACATTTTGTACAAAATACAGTATACCAACAATTCAGTAGAAGTATAGTGTGCCAAATTGTGATAAACTTGTAAAGGTTTCACTAGCTATTGTGATTTGTATATGTATCGTACGTGTGGTTTAATTTTTATTTAATTTCGTACTGAATGAATTCACAGGTACAGCAATGGTATGTCTTCAGAATCTTCGTAAAACATTTAATTATGGTGGACGCAAGAATGTTCCAAGTATTGAAGAGATTACTGCCATAACTGCTGGTCGCAATTCTAAGAGGCAAATCTACAGACTTCCTGGAGGAACTGAAAGAGTTATAAACACAAAGAGTACTTCAGTAGTGCAGGTAAGAGCTGCTTGTAATATGTGCAATTAACTTTTCCTTCTGCTGACCAGCCATACTTTAACACTTCGCTGATAAGCAGAGACTGTTGTCATAGGTTGCATTTCTTTCAAGAGTAAGGCAACAAATTTAAATTTGTCAACTTGCACATTCCAAATTACAGTATTGAAACCTTAATTGTTAATTTAAAAACTTAGTGTTTAAAATGTTTTTAATTTGTATGTTATTGACTATTAGTGATTGAGAAACTGTAAAAAGTATGGCAAAAACTTGTTTACTTGGAGGATGAATCTATAAAAAAATTTATTACAGAATTCTTTAGTCGGTTACAGAAATAGTTGTCGATTTGAGATATAACTGGCACAGTAAACCATGCAATTCAGTAAGTATCTATTTTCAACAGGATATTATTGAAGAGATGTGTAACCTGATAGGTGTGAGATCCCCGCATGAACAGGAGGAATACAGCTTGTACTGTATCGTTGAGGGTGACACGTTCACCATGCCCCTGGCCAGAGAAGAGTATATTTTAGACGTCACAACAGAACTACTAAAAAACCAACAGGTTAAGTTTTAATTGTACAAAATTACTAAAGTTAAAGTTCTGGGCTTCATGGTTAAGTTAGCTGATACATAGATTTTTTCTTTTCAGTTTAATGCATTTTGATTAGATATACAGTACATTAATTAAACCAATTACCATAATGCTCTGGTAATTTTTTTTCAGGTGTTCTACTTAATATTCTGTCGAAGTGTGTGGTACTACCCATTGCGATCTGATAACCCCTTGTACTATGAAGTGGTGTTCAATCAGATCGCTCCAGACTACCTAGAAGGTCTTCTGTTGGTGACACCAGGAGAGCAACTCCAGCAAGAAGTTATTGTGAGTTACACTTGTAATATAAAGAACTGCTGTATATTGGATATTTCAGATTTTATTATTACTTTTCATTTAATGTACTTGCATTACAAACTTAAGTGCAACTTGTTTGCAGTATGATATTGCCAAAGTTGCTGCCCTTCTCCACCGAGCTGCTGACCTGGAAGACATGCCCAGTATGAAAGAAGTGAAATACTTGTTGCCAAAGCCTGCGCTAACTGTGCGGGATGTTAAACCTCCACAATGGGTCAATATGGTCCAGTCAGCTTGGCCAGAAGTTGCAACACTCACCAGTTTACAAGCCAAAGCACAGGTTCTTGGTATGTATACTAAATTTGATTGAAATTAAAATTCCTTGTATGCTAAGTTTCCTTTAAAATTAACTGCATTAGTTGGTGAAAAGACTGTTTAAATAGGTAAACTCTTGCACTAATATGAAATACTGTACTGTAAAAAAGTACAAGAAAAACTCGCTAATTATATTTAATGTTTTAGAAATCCTCCAACTGTGGCCACTATTTGGGTCGTCCTTCTTTGCTGTTAAGAGAGTAATGGAACCAAAGGAAAGAACAGACCATATCCTCGCTCTGAACAAAAATGGAGTTCATTTTCTTGATCTCCTCACTCATGTAAGTCTGTTTTCTTTATAATTTAATAAATGCTACTGGATACTGTTTAATATTACAATGCACACTAAACCACAAAGTAGCCAACTTGTTTTGCAAATAATAATGAGCATTTTGAATGTTGAGGAACATTATAATTTTATATTAGGATTGAAATATAACTAATATCTGTACAAAATGCATAATATAACGGTATTCCTACAGGAAACCTTGACTAGGTACAGTCTGGCTGAGGTGATGAGTACAAGGAAAGTCAAAAGTGAAGATGATCTGTACCTAGATATGAAATGTGGCAACTTAATGCAGCAACGCATCACTAGAATACAAACTGACCAAGCACATGAAATTTCCCGCCTCATCCGCCAATACATCACCATTGAGCAGCGTGTAACTGGGCACACTAGAGGAGATAATCCTAAAGATCTGACGCTTTCTAGATGAGCTGCAACTAAGGAGTTGCTGTAACTAAAAATCAATTTTTGATGTCCCTATTGTACTTGACAGTCGGATGAATGTGAACATTGTCAAGCACACAGTTTACCGTGAAAGAAAAATATGAAAAGATTTGATAATTGACTTATATTTTTAAATTATGAATTGTGTATAGGATATCCGAATTATTCCTCGGAAAAGGAGATTTTTTAATTCATGAAGGCCTGTGATGGTGTCTTAAAAAAAAAAAAGAAACTGTGCACATCTAAAGTGACATTAGAATGCACAAGAATGTGCCAATAGTGATAGAATGAAACTTTTGTAATGAGAATTACCAGACATTTACAAAGAGTTAAGTATGCACTACAGTTCATTTGAAAAGGAAACGGGGTGCTACATGGAGATTGCAGTGATCATTGCTGGTCACTATTAACAAATCTTATTCTTGCCTTCCCTAACGGTACAGAGAAAAACATGGATTCAGTATTCAGTTATGGTACCATGTTAAATTCTGCATCTGTTCATGATGCGAGGGGGGAAGTGCATATAACGATTTTTATATAGAATAAAAAGACACGTTTGCCTGATCTGTTGACGGGACAAAATTAATTTTAATGTGTGATAAACTAATTTGATTAACTGTATTGTGAGATGAAATGTGAAAGCGATGAATGGTGTATATGATGTACCGATGCCATATAACCTCTTAACGTTTTTTCCTGCATGGAGTTGATCAGATCATAAACATCATTGTAGTCCTTGTGAATGTACATAGATTCTGACATGCCATTTTAAAATTTTACAACTTTTTAAACTGTTGCTACAATGGTTGAAAAGACCGGCTAAATTGTTAGCACAATTTTTATGAACAATTAGTGTGATTAACCATGCAGAGTACTTCACAAATGAATGGGACTGTGTATGTATATATAGTAATAAAATATTTATTAAGTTGACTATGTGCATGACCAAAATTATCTTTACAATGTAAAGGAAGACACAGAAATGAGAAACTAAATTTGCTTTTTAAATCGAAAATGTATTTCTGCAAATCATCAGCCCGTCTCTTGCACTGCTCAAATATGTGATTTTGTATATTTTTACGTTGTAATATTACAATTTACTAACTACAGTATAATTTTATTTTCTTACACTTGTGCATCACTCAAAACTGTAGAGCTTCTCAAAACATGAATAAACCTTCTTTGATTAGTTGTTTATACACTAAATTCAAAAGTATAGATCAACTTTGTCTTTATTTAATATTTAAGTTCAATATTTTTCTATTGCCATGTTTCTGCTCTTCACTTGCACATGTTGTAAGATTATAGTAATTGTTTCCTAATAAAACTTGCAAGTTTCTAAAAGCTTCTTAATCTTTCACGAGTTTTTGAATCTTGTTTTTTACATGGCATTTTCTATTGAAATTTTATAGGCAAAATAAAAAAAAATATTCATGATCCGACTACTTAAAGCAGGTAAGTGTTCCTATGAGTTGTTGTAGACATAAAATTTGAGACACTCTTGTCCCATTAAGTATTTAACCTGCAAATTGCATTGTTTGTCCATTGAGTTCATGCATTTTTCTTGATACATGGCTATACTTCATACTTATAATCCTCTGATTGGGGAAAGGCGAAATTTGCCAGAACTATGGTGCAAGTCAATATTATACAAAGAATAATGAAGAGTTGAAGTTGATGAACCTGCTGGGCATCTATAATCCACTTTTTAGTATTGATTTTGAATGATATAAAAGTTGGACAGCTTTTCAATTCAGTAGGGAGTGAGTTCCATAAACTGGGTCCCTTTATTTGCATAGTGTTTACACAGATTAAGTTTAACTCTGGGGATATCAAAGAGACTTGGACCGAGTATGAGTATCTATGACTTATATGGTCGCTTCAGTAAGATTTTGCCCCATGTGTTTAACAACTTCTTCTCCTCTGTTGAATCTAAGTTGAAACCTTAATGGGTTTGTAACTGTGCACTGTGTTAAATAATGTTCCAGTGGTGTATCGGGCTTTTCTCCACAGTGCTGACATTTCCTCTTATCTTCCGGAACCTGTAAGCCTATTTCCCATGCACATGGGTATCCAAGCCTGATGCGATGTAAGTGTACTTCTGTTGTTGTACTGCTCCCTTTCATCAAACTAAGTGGTTCGTAGTTGGTTGAATTCTTGTACCAACCCGCAGATCCTAGGTTGATCCAGAAGTCGGCGGTTTGTCAAAGCTCCCTCCACCAACCACCATTTTTCCTGATGATTTTATCCACCAGGAAAATCCATACTTCATCAGTAATGTGTGACCATTTTCAGACTCAGTGACGCTCCGTGGGTTGTAACTCTATAGGTGAAAAACAACTCTTATTTTCTGTTTTACATTGTGGCTTCTTGAGCTTGAATCATTTTGTCCTTATATTTGACCTTTTAAAGAAGTGGTCTCTTTAAATAGGCAATTATCAAGGCAATTTATGGGGGGATTTTTGATAAGCCGCCGGCTTCCTGTCCCCGTCAAGGCCACTGGTGTTAGTGGATCTCTGATAAACTTAGGTAAAAATTATACAAATATTTCAGTATTTTACAGTTGTCAATTAATATCAGCCCTCAACCGTCCCTAGTGTGAAAGTATATAATACCAATCTAGATATATTTAATGGTTATCAGTAATATATTTATGCGCATCTATTTCTGAATAAAGTCATTGGTTATTGGTTAATTGAGCCATTGAGTGACATCAAATGATTGGGAACGCACCCAAAATGTATTACGCTCGTATGCGCCAATGAACCCCATTCAACCGATAAATAGGCATCACTACAACACACATTAATATGATAAAACGCTAGTAACCGACACATCAAAGCTTATTTATTAAGAAACACTCAAATTGTCGCCAAAGATAGTGATGAGGTCGTAGTCCCCAGAGACGACCACCAAAACAACACGGGGCCTCTCGTCTCCTCCTTGCATCTCTGAAGTCATTTACCACTCTACGGTGAGTGTTTACGATAGTAGGTGTGTAAATGCCTTCCTGCGTGGTCAAATGCGATACGTTTTTATAATATAAATAATCTGTCGGCGCATGAATCAGGTACATTGTTAGTAGCCTTGGCAAGGTTACTGGCAGATTTTTTTAAATCCGGCTCGATAAAAATCATGTGAGAACCATTGACAAGCCTCTGGCTTCCTGTCCTTGTCTAGGCTATTAGAGAGATAGTGGCCCTTTAAACTCGGGAGCACTAACCCATTTATCCTGATACCCAAGGTATTAGTAATTTGTTAACTTTAAACTATATTTAATAATAAATTATATGTACTGTATATAATTATTAATTTAATAATTTATTAATTTTAAGACATGACCAGTTGTTAGTTTTCCCACCAGCCATTGGTGGTGGAATATATAAACATTGTCCACACGGCCCACTAGGGAAGGTGGGGTGTGGCCAAATGATACACAATACTTTGACAGCTTATTTTCCGATTTCCAAAACTGTATACAGTATTTACATTTTCCTATAAAGTCATTGGTTATTGGGAATAGTTCCAAATTTTCATTGGGAACTATTCATAGCCATGCAAACAAAACACATGAAACTGCTATTCCTTTCTACCTCTTGAAATATAATTTTCAAAAGGAAATTACTGTACAACAAATTCATAGTGCTCTTTATATTTTCCAGGTTACAAGATGGGGGACTATTACGATGCATCGTTTGAGATCCAGTGTCCGGCATGTAGATGTACAAAGTATTGTAACCCACAGATGAAACTGATGGTTAACGTGTGCGGCCATCCACTGTGTGATTCTTGTGTGAAAATGTACTTCATAAAAGGTGAGAAACTGACATGAAACTGACATACTGTACCACCATCAGTACAAGCACCACTTTTACTCCAACCACCATCACTATTAACACCACCACAATTACTACTACTATTTTTTTGTTTACTATTATCATTTTGCTGTCTAGTTGGCTCTTACATTGTGCAAGTTACAAATTTTACCTTCAGGTAATCCTAGTACTGTACAGTATTTAATATTTAAAAAATTTAAATATTTTCCCCCATGGTAGAAAGCTACTGTATTTGAAAAGAAAGTGAACCTGTACATACTATATTTTTCCTGTAATCAAACTCCCTCTATGTATTTTTTTTAAACATTATTATTACTGTATTATATTTATTATAAAATATATATAGTTACTTTTTTTTATCCGACAAGTTTTTCTCATACAAGCATCCTGCTGGCTAGTGCTATATAGAACCAAGTGTGTACTTATTTCCCCATTAATTCATTTCTAATGTAACTGTAATCTATCTCGAGAAGATTTCGGGCTTAGCGTCCCCCATGGCCCGGTCCCCCCAGGCCTGCTTTTTGTTTTTGTTACACACCCCAAGGAAGCAACCCGTAGCAGCTATCTAACTCCCAGATACCTATTTACTGCTAGGTAATAGGGGCAACAGGGTGAAAAACTCTGCCCATTTGTTTCCGCCTCCTCTGGGAATTGAACCCGGAACCTCAGGATAATGAATCTGAAGCACTTATCCACTCAGCTGTCAGGCCCCCATAGTATAACCTTGAATGAGTTGGGGGTTGTGCTATACACTGTTACCTTCATAACTTGTTCAGCTATGGGTCTCTGAGCTATTTCAATATATTATAATTTTATATATACTGTAATTGATTTTTCTCAAAATTCTGTGCAGAACTACACTACTTATTGCTGCTATGAAAGACCTCCATTATTCCTAATATTTTAATATGTTGACATTTATAATTAATTTATAATGTACTGTATATGTATACCGTTCGAAAGAAGGCACCATTATAAATCTACTGATTTTTACCACCAAATACCATACCAAAATATACTGATTTTACCTGCAGATAAAATGTATGTTTCTTGTCCACCACCAACCAAATATATACTGTATTGTATTTACATACAGAAAGTCTTGTTTTCTCCTACAAAACCACTAATTAAGAACTTTTTTTTTAATCCATCAGTTTAACAGATATTAGAGTAGCAGTTATGGCAAGCCAGTAGGACAAAAGTAGGTTCTGTAACTGGAATTTTTGTCAGAGCAGAAGCAATAGGACGGGTGTCCTGCCAATCGATATACTATGGCAGATGTAACAAAAATTAAGTTCTAATCATTGCATACAACAATGAGAACTGAAGACAAAGGCCTATTTAATTTTCACTGCATTTCATACAATAGTTGAAGTAATGGCTAAAGTACTTCTGTAGGTTGCAAAGAATTACGAATTGCCAGAAAATACAGTATATTTGTTTATATAATTGTACAATTCAGTCAAATATATATTCCACTAATCTTTCAAGTGATAAATACTTTGTAGTATAAATTTATGTTTTTATACCAAAATTACTAACTTCCATAAAATTACTTCCATCAAAAGTAACTAAACTAACATTAAGCTTATTCCTGGCTCGTGTTATTAAGCTCTCTGAATTGATTTCTACCATTGATCTGTGAATGGATCTCTACCTATAAACAAGTGCAGTTAAATTTATGGAATACAGTATTGTTAAAAATAGCCCAGGTAGCAATGTTGCTGGCAGATTCTTACTGTACACATAACCAGAGGTTGCTGTTCTATTATGCATTTTACAGTCCAATATTGATTGAACATACACAAAGTGATGATTTTACACACACCCTTGGAATAGCATTTCCATGACATTAACCAATGTAAACTTGACATCTTCTAAATATAAAATCCAGTTGGTAGAGAGATTTTTATAAATGCAAAAAATGCTCGCTAATCATACTTGTACTTTGATGATGATAAACCTAACCGGATTCCTGTCCCAAAAAATAATTTTTTTGCAGGCGATGTCACAATAATGTGGCTGAAATATGTTGACCAATCCACACACTAGAAAATGAAGGGACGACGACGTTTCGGTCCGACTTGGACCATTCTCAAGTCGATTGTGATGAGGGAAGGAGATGAAGGCAATAAATAGGCAAGAGAGGTGAGGAGCAAGGCAAAAGGTATGCAAGGTAAGGTGTAGTAGAGGGCAGAGGAACAGAAAAAAGAACAAAGGTAACTGCAGACGGCCTATTGGCCCATACGAGGCAGCTCTTATTTATAACCACCCAATAAGAAGGGGATAGTAATGGAATAAAAGAATTTCTTATCCTCTTTAGAATCCTCTTCTTATTCCATTACTATCTTCTTATTGGGTGGTTATAAATAAGAGCTGCCTCGTATGGCCAATAGGCCTTCTGCAGTTACCTTTGTTCTTTTTCCTGTTACTATCCCCTCTACTTCGATGGGCTCACCATAGCCCGTGCTACATGAACACTTCATTCTGAGTAACTAAATCTGAAACAACAAAAACCTCTACTACACCTTACCTTGCATACATTTTGCCTATTTATTGCCTTCATCTCCTTCCCTCATCACAATCGACTTTAGAATGGTCCAGGACGGACCGAAACGTCATCATCCCTTCATTTTCTAGTGTGTGGATTGGTCAACATAGGAATGTTTTTGTGTGTGTGGCTAATCACATTACTATATTGAATGTGTGCCTGTTGATTATTACATTAAACATTAAAAATTTTAAACTAAACAGTATGACCATGATATAAATGGTGAAAGTTAAATGCTTGCTCCATTACAAGTACTTACTAAAAAAAATGTGTAATGTCCAAAAATAAAATGATACATGTGTACCATTGTTGTGTAGCTATCTAGCTGGCGTTCAGATATTTGATAGACCCTCTTCTGTTGAAGTACTATTTGAGATGCGAGTTGCAGAAAACATTTTCTCGGAAATAAAAATGGCCAAATTACAATGTGTGCAGATGTGGTTAATATAGACCACCCATCCAAGAGGTGAGCAGAAAATTATTTCAATCCAGTATTGTTCTGTATAAAGTGACAAGTGTTAAACAGTTGACAAAGAAAAATACAAGGCACTAGTACCATGAAGATTATTTACTGCAATTTCCTGTAGAGAATGGTCAAAATGTTTAGTTGGGACTCTACCAGCCAGTTCATCTGTATCTAATGACCTAAAAATACCTGTATACTGTTCTACATGAAGACTTGTGACCATTGCACCTATTTACGGCCATCTGCTACAGCGTGTCTGCTGCCTCAACAGAACAACTTCAGTTTCGGTGCAAAATTTTCTGGATTTCCTTGAATCACAATGAACAGAATGACATCCAACAAAATGACATGCATAAGCATATGGAAAGTAAGAAGTGCAGTAACTGACCTGATAAATCTTGTCTAAATTTTGTTGTGCACAAGCTGTGTAAATGTGGTTGAATGCCAGTGACCAGCTTCATTAATATTACAACTTGGACTCCTGGGCATCAAATGGCGAAGATTCTGGTGGTGAGGAACACTCGTGATGGACAACGGCTGAACACGAGATCTTTGAAGGTGGTGTAGACGATGTCAGGTCACAAGGGGGTTGTAATTCTGGATCTGATGACAGGCTAGTTGAGGCAGGTGAAGCAGCATCTGGAAACTGTTAAATAAGAACTTTTGTACTGTTACTGTCTATATAAGGGAGAAAAATTATAACCATTTATCATCACTGTATGCAAATAGAGTAACTTGTCATGCCTCACCTGAATCCCTGTGGTGGGTAGGGTCTTGGAGAGCTCAGTGAGGAAGAGATCATAAGATTCTCCTCCCGTGGAAATAGAATCAAAGCATGACATGGCTGTGTCAGGAATGATGCCACTCTCCACACTGCTGCTTAGCCCATACTGCCCATGAGGATGCAAATGGTTGGAAGTGAGATTAAGAACAAGGAATAGATTAAGCAAACTTAATAGCCATTTTCTTTTCTATTTGAGATGGTGCAGATTTTTATTTTTTTCCACAATCACATTGAGCAGTTCATAGATATGACAAGATGACACACTGTAATTCTACAGGGAACCTTAGAAGTGATCCATGCATGGGTTATAGGTAATAGTTACTGGAAAGCATTCAGTTAAGCTCAGAATGATATACAAGTCCATTCATAAAGACTCAAAACCTTTCTAAGCCCTACAGTTGTATTACTGGTATTCACTACCTGCCTACCTGGCATCTGTGCTCACTGTCACCAAAAATTAAAAACTATATTTACTCATGATCTCATGTTATTCATGAAATAATATGCATAATGAATGGCTTTATAAAATGTGCAAATACTGTACAGTGCAGTCCAACCACGCTGCGGGAATATAAGGGACAATTGATCCCCGGGAGCTACACAAGGTAGGTAGACACCTGTTAATTAACCATTTTAATCATTCCTCAATACTTTTTATAAAATAAACATTGTTATAGGTAGTAGCACCATATCCGTCTCTGGATTCCCAGAACAAAGCCTCTTCCACACACACTTCAATAACTAATTGAACGGAAATTCCTAAAACTCAAATTGTCCTTCCATTGAGTAAACTCTCTGATCAACTTTATCTGATTTTGCTTTACATTTTATGCAATAACACACAAATTAAATTTTTGCTATAAATGTAATTTTTCTTTAACATTTTGTCCATTATTCATTACATGTAGGTTAGTGGCTTTGCAAGAATGTAGCATTTAATTGCCAAATCAGTGCTGATACAATCCATTATACCTACCTGTACTGTATAAATATATATACTAGATAGGGTTTCCAGCAGTACCCTGGTCTTGCTTTCCCCTTTCTCCCTTTTCATTCTCCTACAATCTTCCCTCCCTCTCCCCTCTCCTCATTCCAGGCTTTATGAAAATTGCAGGAGGGTCCTTATAGATGTCAACATATTTTAAAGGGCGACACTTGGGTTGACCCCCAGCTAGGCTATGACACTCGTATGTGAGCCATGTTTCAATGTTGTTAAGTGAGGCTAGAGCAAATGTCTGGCCACCTACTTCAGACATGGGCATCCTATTTTATAGTAAAAATCAATGTATACACTACCTTAATCAGAAAGTCCTCATTACTGTTGATAGTATTAAAGCTACAGCTGCTATGCTTGTTGAGCGATGGAGTAACACTGCGGGAAGAATCAAGATCAACAGCATCCTGGATACTGGGTGGATGCATGCAGCCGTTCATGTTGGAAATCGCTTCTTTTTGCTTCATTCGGCCTTCAAGATGTGCACTCCTGCCAGACTCAGAATTGTGGGTTGTACCTGAATAGGTGGAGGTAGCTTGTTGTTCATTAGCTATCTTTCTCCTTTTTCTCGGATTATCAGTTTCTTGGAGCTTGGAAACTATATATCTACTTGTATGATTATCACTTATTTCCAAATTGTGTGTACAATCTTTAATAACTGCTTCACCCTGGTATTTTTGAGCCAAACTATGCTTTGCATCATCAGGCATGCTGCAGCTGCTTCTATGAGAGCCACTGCTGCTGCACTTAGCATTATCATACTTTCTGCTCTTCAGGTTTCCTGAATTTCTTAAGTTCATGTTACCTTTACTGCAGTGACTTCTATTAGCTTCATTTTTCCTGCATTCTTGAGTTTCATTAGTTTTGAAAGGTATTTCTCCAATACTTCCATTTCTTAGTGTGGTAACAGATCTTTTTTTCAAGGAGTTTGTTTCATTAGTAACTGCCATTCTTCCATTTTTGGGGGAAAGCAAATCCCTTGGGGTACTAATAACTGTGTCTGGTTTATTAGTCTCATTAGCATCGAGATCCCTATACTTGTTGCTCCCTTTATTAATTTGTTTAAGTAAGGAGATTCTTCCATTACTCCCTTCTGACATTTTCCGTGACCTCTGCTGGTGACTGTGCTTTGAAGGACAGCTCTGCCTTTGATCTGTAACAGCAGTATCAGACTCCTGTGTGCCAAATGACACTGTGGAAGGGCAAAGGACTAGGGGTTCCTGTTTAAAAGATAACAGAGATGGGCACTCTGGACTGGAGACACAAGACTGTCTGGCTAAGGTGGCAGGTGAGTATCGTACAAGACTAGAAGTTGACACTTGACTTGACAGTCCAGACATAACTCCAGAGCTAACCTCATCTTCTGACATGGACCTTTCCAGCTCTGGCTGTGACGGGCAGTCATCATATTGTGACGTAGCTCTGCAGAAAGCATCGATTTAAAGGTAAGCATTTAAGTTTAATGTATAGGATTGTAGTTTTAAGTATGTGAGCACATGTCTATTAAAGTGTTAATACTAGTATTAGCCAAGAAGAAAAAAGTTTTTCTGTGGGAATTGGTTCATTAGCACACTCTTCATGCAGCTGTTTTTATAGCCTCATTATTCCCTTAATAAGAAATCTCCAGATCCATAATTAATAAGTTTTGCTTCTAAAAAATTTAAGGTGATACAAGTTATTACCCATCAGATATCTGCTTTCTATTGGGATTGAGGAATGGTCTATTTTATGAATATTCATAGAGTTCATACAGTGTATGCTAAACTCTCAAGAATTATATGACCAGTTCTCTGGGAAAGTGAGCAGAAGCAAGGGAAGTCTTGAGGTGGATCTGACAAGAGGTTTCTCCTTTCAAATCAAAATTGTTGAAACACGGTGCAAAATTCTAAATTCTTTTAGCCCTGTTGTGTTTCTCGAAGAAACTCTAAAATGTTTTCAGAAACTCACTCTGTATGCAGGAAGCAAGTCCTATTCATTCTCTAACATAATTAACCTAAATACAGGATGAGGATTAGCAAGATATTGAAGTTTACATATGAGGGTAGGGCAAAGCACAGGGTTCCTAGTGTTGCAAATCAGGTTTAGGATGGAAAAAGCTCTTTTGGCTTCAGAGTAGGTACAGATGGTAAAATTTGGGGATTAGCCACATGGTACAATAACTTGTCAAATAGAGAAATGTCAGAATAAGAAAGAGTCAAAGATTGCCTTGTTTTAGAAGGAAACCTCTTAATATAGCTTTAAAATTAGCATTGTGTATACATCTTACATTAGCCTTACTGTATTTAAAAGTTACAAAAGTTTGTAAATCAGGAAAGCCTTTCTGAATCCCAGTACAAATCTTTTCCCTTGTTTGAAAGCTATCTAGAGTTTCTCTAAATTATGATGTTAAAAGATAAAAAGGATTTTACTACAGAACTTGATACTGTAGTACACTTAGAATTATCATGCTCCTAAGGCACTATGTACCTGCTTTAATGTCTACAATGATTTGAATAGATGAGGACACTGACATTAAATGAACAAATCCACAAGGGGCGTGACGAGGATTCGAACCTGTGTCCGAGAGCATCCCAGACGCTGCCTTAATCGACTGAGTTACGACATGGTAAAAGGAGTTGAAACCGAAGTTCTACTGAACTTACTGGATCCTGCAGCCTCTCCGAGCCACAAACAAGGGTTTTACACAACTCCCCCCCATGCACTCGAGCTATGTCACTAGGCCGTTCTCTCTCTTCACTCTTACTTCATTACACACAGAAATCACAATTGCGTGATGCATCAAATGAACAAACTCACAAGGGCCGTGATGGCAAGTTGTGGATTTGTTCATTTGATGCATCATGCAATTGTGATTTCTGTGTGTAATGACACTGACATTAGTTTGACTATTGAAAAGATGTCTGCCCATAACACTGTAATCAAAGATTACAGGAGTTCCTATGTGTAGTTCAGAGTGAATTAGCAGATAACATGTCTTTCACCCTTAGGAGCATTTATTGTAATTTATCATGTGATAAAGTTGGTAAAACCTGGTGGGTGACTTCACTTAATAAAATTTAGTCTAGTGTTCTCTTTCTGGAAAGTTTAGTAAATTAGGCATTCATTTATAGTCAAGTGTAATACTGCATGCGCTACTTTTCACAAGCTCTGATCTCGCTGTATTGTATAATGTATAAAACAATTTCTAACATTAATGGACGAGAAATATCAAAAGATTACCTAACCAATTCACTTTTTAATATACATGCCATTAAGACTTACTTATTTGTCTTTGTGCTGAGGCTTCCATCAGCTTGGTTTGAGCTCAGCTTGTTAAGATAAGGTTGGGGCTGAAGTGAAGAGGTACTAGAGTGAATCGAGGAATGTGTCGAGACGTTTGACTGGGACGTTTGAGACCGAGACCCACAATGGAGGGATATGGAGTGCTGACTGCAGTATGAAGCAGGACTTCCTGGCAGGTTTTTTCCAGACTCTTCCACATCAGTTCTCTCTATCACTAAAAACTGAAATGAATACCAAACTTGCATGTAAATATCACATGTAATACAGTGGTGACATGATTACATGAAACTAGATTATCAGATAGACTGGGTTAGCCAAAGTAAAACCAAACCAAACCAAACTGGATAAGAGTCCTGCAATATCTGAAGTCCTTTAGGATATTGGGATATTATTTTTATACATTAGAATTAAACAAATTTATAAGTTAAAGATTTTTGGATATTAAAGATGAAATAAATTTGTCAGAGAAAAGTAAAAATATTCAAATAATAAAAATTTATTATTGTACTGATGTATTAAAACTTTATTCATATGTTTGTAATGATAGAATGTGCAAACATGTATTCTAGCATTTGTGCTAATAAAGCACATGTTGGCTGAAACAGAGAAAGCAAAAACCCAGTCATAATAAACAGAATTTGCTTGAAAATTTGCCAGAATTTACTCAAAGGCCACCATATCTCTTAGTGGCCTCAGTGGGGACAAGAAGCCGACGACTTGTCGATGGTCCCTGCCCTTGCCCCCCTCTCCCCCTTCCTTCCCGTCAACACTCGAGATCATACGTCAACTGAAGTTTAGATGTTGATGGAGATCAGTAAGCTATTGTAGTAAACTTAATAACCCTCCCATGGTTGATAAGCTTAACACCAAATCCAGGATGTTTGATGGGATGAAATACTGACCTCCTCTTCCTCTTCTGGTAGACTTTCTGATAAACTGGTCTTGGGTATGCTGCTGATCAATGGACGACTACTACTACAGGGCACCTCCATCGATGATCTGTAATGTGAATTTTGAGTAATGTTCAGTGCTGTTCACCTATACTGTGCATGCTGTTTAACTTGTACACTTTGCACTAGTAAAAATGCAAGTCACCTTATGGTTCTATTCACCCTATGGTTTCCATAAGTAGCCATTATCAATTCCCATTATCTTCCTTATTATATATAATAGCATTTCTTACATTGGTATGTCATTTAGTTCCATTAATTTATTAATTATGAACTAGCAATCTTTAAAGTTAATAAATAAATACCAGTTACGAGAATATTTCCTGAAATTTACTTTGGCTAGTCAGTAAATCTTGTAAGAATAAAAGTAATTTACAGTCACACGTATGATGAGATGAAGATATAAATGAATTTGTACACATATTCTGATTCAATACTGCACATTGGCTTACAGTGTCAATTAAAATCATTAATCCTCATATTTAATTTTTAATAATGTCTTCCACAACGTACTGAACAGAGCCAAGTACAGGTCCGTCTAATTATCCAAAGCCACCCAAAGCTTCCTGGCATTATGTTAGTACTGTAATGAATAAATGATATATTTACTCATTATAATGTTGGTGCTGAATGTAGAACACGGAAAAACATATTTTTACTCTGAAAAAGTATCATTTCGTAACGAAATTAAAAGAAAATAAGCTATTGGTGATGCCAAAGCAAGTCGACGGTCCAAGAGAATGTTGTGGAGCGATTTATCCAAGACACATTGTTGCCTAAAGAGCATTTGCTGCGTATCGGCCTCCTGTACCTATCTAACCTAACCTATCTAAACCTAAGTTAATATAACCTGTACGCAACAATATATCTTGGATAAGTCGCTCCACAACATTGTTGCTTGGCCCATCGACTTCCTTTGGCATCACCAGCAGCTTATTATTGTCTAATTTCGTTATGAAATTATACTTTTTCAGAGTAAAGTATGTTTTATCATGTTCTACATTCAGAATCAACATTATAATGAGTAAATATATCATATTTATTCATTACTAACATAGTGCCAGGAAGCTTTGGGTGGCTTTGAGTGGCTTTGGGTACCTTTGGGTAATTAGATGGACCACCAAGTACATATTCCAGGAAGTCTGAGGATATTCCTCAAAAGTATAGGCATTTTGAGTGGAAAACAGTGCATTTCTCTGTATTAAATGAATGTCTGTCAATGCTATAAACAGTATCTGATGAATTCAATAAATATATGAATAAAAGTACAGTATTAACAGAAGAATATCGGCATTAAGAAACTGCAAGGTTGTGGGTAACCACTATTCACACAAGTCTACTATTATTGTAGCACCGAGAAGGCTCCATGTATCTGCTCTGAAATATGTTAATGGGATTAAGTAAAGGTTAGCAAGACAGACTGAGATAAGTGCAGGCTACATACAAGTCTACCTGTTCAAAGTGACAAAGCTAAAACAGTGCACAACTTTAGGCAACAAGAGAACCCTAAAACAAGCTTTGGGGGCCCTTGTTCCCATTACGACTAATATACATGGTGATCAACAGGTGATTTAACAGACATGCATAGCCATTACTTATCCAGTCAAAAATCTGGCTAACTGTGAGCATCAGGGTACCAACTATACCCCATACTTTAAGAGTTACTACTTGCAAGCCTGTAGTTTAATCTCTACCAAACATGGAGTGTAGTCACTACCAGGCATGGAGTAAAACTATGTAAACAATGTTACATACTGTAAACCTATTGACCCCAAGTATCCGTAAGAGTGTGAAATCCCCTTTAGCCAGGGTCCAGAGGCTGCAGTACCTAGTCAGGGCCAGGATGAAGCCCTGATTGGGGGACCAGGAGGAAAACCCATCTGGCTGAAAACGGTTTAACAAACCCAAATGAAGAACACTTGTTTATGTTTACTTTGCATGACGACTGAAAAGAATAATGCAGGTCAACTGATAAAAAGCACTTTTCGTAGGCTAATTCACAAAAAACCAACCATTCCAAATACAGTAATACATAAAATATGCAAAGTATGGACTTTTTTTACCATTGGCTCTTGCAAGGCGCATGTCTTTTTTGTGTGTGTATTTTTTCCTTATATCAACTAAACCTACAAATTATGAAACTTGAAAGCCTGTGAGCCTCATGTCAAATGCCTTTGAGTTGAGTAGTACTGTAATGCATAGTGTGGCATACCTCCTACTATTCCTTATAGGGACTTCCAGAGACATAGAAGATGGTGTCCATGGCCATGCACTAACAGGAGATACCGCCTCCATGGACGTCATGTCCACTGTTGAGCGAGAGATGGTGCGAGATGATCGGCGAATAATGCTGGCTGTATAAGAATCTGGACGCACAACCTGTGAGAGATGGTAGCAAGATGAAATGTGAATGGCAATATACTCGGTTATTTTTTGTCAGCTGAAAACAGCATATTATCAAAGAAACTTTACATAGGTATGGCATATAAGGAAATCATGGGGATAATATTAGTACCTTATACAATATTTCTTGTCAAGCCCAAAGTGAGCTCAGCTTAATAACATTTCAAAAATGTTTATAAAAAACTGGCAAGTAAATCATGTTTTAAAATTTAGAGCCTAGATTGGAATAAAACTTAAAACTAGCAACTTGCAGGCAAGGAGACTGATCTGGTCGTGACATAGTATACAAAAAGATGACAAGAGGATAAGAGTGAGTGACCCAACTTTTTAACATTAAAAATTACTGACCTGGAGGACAGTATGCAGCAATTTAGGTGTGACCTCTCTTGATTTTATGATAATATTCTCATCAGCGGCTAGTTCCATCTTCTCTCGAGCCTCGTTCTGCTTGATCAGTCGCCTAGCCACAGTAAATAAAAATGATTCATTAAATCAAACCATTAAATAAATTACTGTAACTGCTATATCGTAGATCACAATAGGATAACTTACTTGGCTTTCTTCTTGAGTATTTCCTGTGCTTCAGGATAGTCTTTTATGGTGGCCTGCAGGTCAGCCTTGCTCAGCACAAACAGACTGCTGAAACCACGTGATCTATAAAAGAAAAAAATTATCCTTGTTTTTTAGTGGTTATGTCTTCTTTGTCAGTATCATTTGCTGTAAAACATTTAATGCTTCTCTGTATATCAACAATTATATATTACGGTACTGTACAGCATTATATTTTAACTTCTATTTACAATATACCTCCTCACTTTGTACAAGAGTTCTGTAATATGGAGGTCTACATTCTCGACTCACAATTTAGGCTCTCGGGTTTGATCTTCGAGTAAAACAAACAGTTGGGCACATTTCCTTTCACCTCAGTTCTCCTAGCAGTAAACAGATACCCAGGAGCTAAGCATGTTGTGGGTTCCATCTTAGGAAAGATCATAGAAGAAAGGTTCAACATAAGGGAAGGGGAATCACGATACAAGCCTCAGTTCGGTGCAACCTTCACTCGGCAAACTAAATGCAAAATTTTAGTTTTAACCTATGTTATGTCCAAAACAACAAGGAGAACCTGTCTGTAAAGAGATTTCACATGTAGCATAATTACTTCCTATGTTCCCAGCCTCAAAATGTCCCCTTTCAAAGGTAGCAGGGCCTAAGTGAACAAAAACAGTGTCGAATTAAAATGGAAACAAACCATAGCATTTTAAATACAGTATGCTCAATGACTTTCCAGAGCCTCCAACTCTTTCTTCTATTGTTCTGGCCATCTATGCAAATTATGAAAAAAATGATTGGAGTATCAACTTGGAATGTCATCTTTATCTGCTATGAGTATCAGTTGTTATGCTGGTGTACATATTAGCCTCATTTTTGGATACACAATATATACATGAATTGCAAATATTCAGATACCTCAACAAGCTTCACATTTTGCTCACAAAACTGAGCTACTGAACAGAAAATCTTGAAGATACTATACAAGATTTACTATACTGCAACTGTATCCTGTTCAAATGCAAGATTCTTCTAATTCTTCCACGTACAGTATGCTGAAGAACACATCTAATGTACTGTACATGCACACTTGGAGGCCAAAACCATCTGTAGTTTCAAAGCATTATATGATAATGAATATTGGGAAGATGGGACACCATGAGCATAACTCTCATCCTGTAACTACATTTATGTAATTACACTTCGGTAATTACCTGGCTACTAGAGTACTCTACTGTAATTGTAAAGCAAGGGAATTAAAGGTATATGGCATTCTATCTACTTTTTTTCACAACTTTTCCCCCTTTTCTTTTAATAAACATCTGCTGTACATACCTGACGTCAGCAGTACGCCTATTGCCCCCAGCAAGAGCCAGAAGGGAGATCTCGCCAAAAACGCTGCCTTCACCAAGAGTAGCCAGCACAACGTCACCTTGTTCTCCTCCCATTACCAACACCTGTCCAGCCTGCACAATATACATCTCCTTCCCCACTTCTCCCTGTGAATACGTAGAGGTTTGACGCTGTGGTATAGGTCATCATTTTATATGCATGTATCCTTTTAGAGGCACACATTCCTTTACATGCATGAAAAGGAATACATGAAAAAAAATACCCACAAAATATAAGAAAGCTCTCTTTTGGCAGAGCAAGAGATATTTGGAATCAAAGTGAGGAGGCAGTGGATGCCAAAACCATCAGTAGCTTCAAAAACATGTATGGAAGAGTGAGATGCCACAAGCATAACTCTCATCCTGTTATTACACTTAGGTAATTACACCCTCACTCTGTCCCCCCTCCCATTCACTCAAATTCCCAGCTTTAGCTTTGTGAATAATATAAACACCATTTAGTCAGTATTATTTCTTATACTTTAGGAGCAGAAAACACAACTTGGTCATACAGTACTGTACTATTATTGAACTTTAGCCACATAAATTATGCATCTAGTTTTCTCATGATTCACAGAATGTGCATGACCAAGAACAATTTCAATATTAATAGGCAATACCTTAAACAAATTCAATACCAAAATGCCATACTCTTAATTAATATAATATATAGATTATATATTACATCTCACCTTCTTGCAGACATAATCTCCTGGTAGATAGAGAACTGGCTGCAGCTTGAGTACCAAGTCCCGCAGCAGAGCTTTGTCACAGTCCTGGAAGAGCTGAACCTTTGATAAGATCTGTATGTGCACATTGATAGCTATGTCTGTTCGCATCTTCTTTGGTAGTGACTCAAGACACTTCATCTCATCTAGAAATTAATTGTGCCAACTTGGAATTAAAACAAGATAATACTTGTGAAGACAAGCATATCTCTGTGCTAAAAAGTGTATTAGAGAGGAAAATATATTATACATTATTTAAACAAGACATAATAAAAGGTAGTCCCACTCCCCCTATGATCACATATGTTCTGATACAAACAATATTATGAAAGTACTGAACCATTCTAATAAGTTTCAAGACCAAATATTTTATAGTTCCAAAAAATAACTTGGCCACTTAAAAAATGTAGTAGCCAGAGAAAAAGCCTCGTAGGACTTTGATATTTACTTGAAATTTGGCAAAGTCCTCACTGAGGATTGAGCAAGTTGTACTGTACATGAAACCATCACATTAACTAAGAGCAAGTTACAACATTTCGGTGTGACCTGGACCATTAGGCCCAGGACCAGTGTGTCCTGGATCGTTAGGTGTGCATTAGTGTTTGTTCCCACCATAGAACTGAGACATTTATTCTTTGCTCACTGAGGGTTTTCTGGTTCTGCCAGGTATAGGTAAACCAGAGGCGGACCCGCTCTTGAAGGCTGGCTGGCAAGTTGAGGCGGTGGAGGTACGCTTGGGTTTGATCCATCACCCTTCGGAATTCATTCTGATTACGGGTGGCTGTGGCCACAATGTCTCGAATCTGCAATTCCACAATATCCCTCAGTTGGTTGGAAAAACTGCATCTAATAAAAAGATATGATAATACAGTACCTGTAATCCATAAATATATAAATATAAGCATGCAACTTAAATACAGAATAATTTTTTATTAATTTCTACTCCAATAAATCCAAATTTAACTAACTGCCTAAGCTGACTGGGACTAGTTAAAACACTACCTGGCTACCAGACTTAACTAACTGCCTAAGCTTAGTGAGGAGCTAAAATATGAATATACCTTCTTAACTATCCAAACATTAGCTAATAAACAACACTTAGCCTCACCTGACCAATAAGCAGAGCAAAGACAAACACACCCATTAGCCAGGAACATGTCATGAAGAGGTATTCAGCCTCGTTCTCTGGTTTGGGGTTTTTGCCAATACTGGTGGCTGTTTTTGTAGCAAAGTAGAAACACCGGATATATCTGAGGGAGGAAAATGGCAGTACAGTACACCAACAGATAAAATTTGATCATTTTTTTTTATGTAATGAACTACAATACTCTAAATATGTGACCTGTACTAAACAATTCAAATCTAATAAAAAAAAAATTGGAAAATAAATCCCTTCAACATTACCCTTAAAAGGAATCTTCTTTCAAAATTTCAAAACGAAATAAAAGTTTTGTAGACTATTTAAAATTAAAACATGGAAACAAAAGTTGATACTGTAGCTAGAATACAAATTATCACACATTTTTAAATTATATAGATAAATGCCAAATGTGACTGAATACACACTGGCTTCCTGTCCCTCAACACAGTGAATTAATTATAATATTTATTTCCCAACCTTAATTCAGACAAAATGCAACAAAAAATCCTAGTGCTTTAACAGGGATTTTCAACTCACGCATTGCCTACACCCTGGAAAACCCATTTGTTGGAGCCAATGCCTTCAAGCTTCGAAAAACCATAGTAAGCACAGGTGTTCAGATGAATCAGAAAAATCATGTACATGACGGTACGGATTACTCTGACTGCATGAGGTGAAGACAGCACCGAGTCCAGACGGTGGAAGAACTCCCAAAAGGTGTGGATCTGACGGAGAGATGCAGGCAATTGTAAAAATTTTATAAAACCTATAAGTATATACTGTATGACTTTATTATGGCCACCATCTCTAGTGGCCTTGATAGGAATAGGACTGACTGGACTAAATGATCTACAGTAACGGTCTGACTGACCTAAATGATGAGTTTTGCCTGTAACAGTCTGACTGGCAAAAATTATCAATAATAAGTCTGCCTAATTTCAATAATCTACAATAGTGATCCAACCTAGCATTAATTACCAACAATTGTAATACTTCAACACTTACCTTTATAAGTCTAGGCAGCCTCAGTATAGAGACAAGTCCAAACTTGAAGTACAGCAGATCAAGAGGCAGGAGTGATGCCAAGTCATACTGTTTAGGAAATCAAATACATATATAGTACTTTCTAACGTCCATTTAACCCATCTTCACTTAGGTTACCCACTGAAGTACATAAAGGTACTACCAGAGGTAGAGTTGCGGTAATACAGTCGGGTTCATTCTCGACTCACAATGGAGAATTCCGGGTACGAATCCCTGATGGGACAAAAATGGTTGGGTGCATTTCCTATCACCTAATGTTCCTGTTCACCCAGCAACAAGTAGGTACCTAGAAGTTAGTCAGCTTGTTGTGGGGTTGCATCCTGAGGAGTTGTAATTCGACCTCGGGGAGGGGGGGGGACCTCAATATAAGCTTAATGGGTATAAACACACACTAGTTGCCAGTCTCCTGACACAATGAATTATTATTATTATTAAAATAGTCCTATGTATTGTAAATATATAATAGTCACCTCTACAGATTTTCATTGATGTACTGGTGACTATTTTCTTTTATATACAATAGTAAATAATAGCTGTGTGTGTTTTGACATGCCTGTAACATAAAAAGCTTGCCACAGGATGGCATTCATGCCTATAATAATATACAGTTAGCCACCAGGTGGTACTGGAATGAATGTTAATCACATATTCAAAAACCAAAATAGAAATAACTTACCCTGAACTTGGAGGTTTTCCAATAATATCGACGCATGAGTTTCGGCGTATTAACCCAAAATCCATTGTCCAAGTACATGACCCTAGACTTAAATACCACAATATCGAGGATGTAAACAAAATCAGCAAGGTAATCAGCAGTAAGCCAGTAGACAAGGTTGCTACTTGTCTGATACTCCGAGAACACAGATCGTAGGGGGATGACCCATGCATTGTACACATAAACAATGCACACCACCAGAAGCCAAGAAATGTATAGTCTGCCTGGTGAAAGATAAGAAAAGGTTAAAACAACAACAAATCTTAATCACTATCAGTTTAATACCTTGATTCCATGATACTGTATTTCTGCCTGGATATTTTACCTGGGTTTACCTGAGGGCCACCATCTCTAGTTGCCATGATGGGGACAGGAAGCCAGGGGCTTATCAAGGGCCCCCACATTGTTCCATATTTATTCTTACCTACTTTCTTATCAGTTAATCTGGTTAAAAGTACTGTTTGAATGTTCAATGAATTGTTAAAGTTACTCTCATTACTATTACTGATAGCAAAAGTGATTTAAGTTGTCTGCATAAATCTGTAATCTCATCTTAGAAATCTATCCTTCACTCTTGAATTTCTTTTCTCTGCGCTCATATCTTTCTACTGTTAGAATTAAATTCCTATCTTGAAATTTGTTTTTATACTGAACTTTAAAAATTCCCATACTGTACTAGCCATTTTTATTTTTATTTTATTCCATGAACAAAGTGTCATAGCACTGTACAACACTTGTGTTTTTGATGACCAAACTACACATCAGAAAATGGAGAATGGACGATGTTTAGGTCCATCTTGGACCATTATCAGTCATTTAATGGTTCATGACGGATTGAAACATTGTCATTTCTCCATTTTCTGATGTGTGGTTTGGTCATCATATCTTCAGCCATGTTACAGAGAAATCACAGTAACGTGATATATATTACCGAGAAAATCCACAGGAGCCATGATGAGGATTCAAACCTATGCGCTGGGTATTCCCAGATGCACACTATAGATGCCTAGGCCACGACATGGTTCCAGGTTGCATTTTTTTATCCTGTTGTGGTCTAATCTTCTAGAGTGCTTCTAGGAATAGCCAGAGCATAGGTTTCAATCCTCATCAAGGCTCCTGTGGATTTTTTCAGCCATGTGAAATTTGTGATTTAATTTTATTGTGACTTGTCATCTACTTATGATTTGATTTTATTTTTCAACGTTTTTCAACGACAATGTTATTTTTCAATTTCATGCCTACATTTACACTAATAAATATTATCTCTTTTTACAAGCCATACTAATTATTAATTCAAATTTATAAATACAAGATGTGTAACTACAAACTGCAATCTTTCCAATAACACCTTGCTCACAACATCCATCAAGTTCTAAATTCTAATTACTGTGAAGCTACTGCTTTATCAACTTAAACAAGAGCTTGATAATTAAATGACTGATGTGGAACCATGAGAACTAAAATTTCAGTGATATCATACAAAAAACACTGCAACAAAATCAGTGTAAGGAGTAAGTGTTCACTTTGAGGTTCCATGGCCTGCGGGAAGGAAAGAGTCTTCCTACACCCATACAGATGCCGCAGCAGCCAAGCACGACGTGTGTTGACCCCAACCAGCTGAGGCAGAGATTGGGACCTGGAGGAGATCTCGTGATTGAGGGAGTCTAGTCGCTGCCGTGTGTCAGGAGCTTTGTGAGAATCATCACCTGCAAGATGTGGATATTGTGTATATTAATGAAAGGTTTCATGACATTTTTATTCCATCGTCCTTTTATTAAAATATAGCATAGTTATATTAAAAACTAGCATATGCCTTCACTCTACCTCATTTTATTTCCTGGTTCAATATAGCATTTGTATCCGATGATTAAAAATTCAAAAAATACTGTACTGTACAGAGGAATGAAAAGAACATGAGACAAAGACAGAAATACAGTACTGTAAATCATACTGAATATATATAATAAGGCATGCAAAGAGAAGAAAGTTTCGTTAAAGTTCAAGCTCACCTTAATCTATGACCTAGAGATCTGAGTGGTAATGATGCTATCAATGCATACCAACTTTCTCATTAAACCATCCAAAACTACAATATAAGTTGCATTTAAATCCATGCATCTTTGGAGTCTGACTCGTGACACTAGTGAACAAAATCAGCATAGATTGTTAAGTCAAAAGTAAAAGCTAAAAAATGAGATATAGTACTGTAAATAAAAATGTAATATAGACTGGAATGGACAAAGAAACAAAAATGGAATAAGAGAGTGACATGAAACAAAGGCATCAAAAACAAAATACCTGTACATAATAACAAAACAACAAATACTGAAGAATAAGAAACAAAGAATGATAGAAGACAGAAGATACCTAAAAATATGAGACAGGAATGAATCACACATGAATCAAATCTAAATAGCCAGCAATGTGCAAATGTGAGCCACATACCCCCATCAGAGAGTTCGGTGGAGGGTGTTGGTGGCTGAGTAATCTGTGCCTTCACTCGATTGGCCCGTTGACTAAATGCCGAGACCAAGTGGTGAATACGCTCTGTTACATATCGGCTGTGCTCCAAGCTGGTACTGCTTGAAGAGAAGTATTATTTTTAGTTATTTCAAGTCATTTAATGCTGGTTTATCAGTTTGATTCACAGTTTACAAAATGCACATTAAATCTTAACCAGGCAAGGATAGGAAGGATGAACAGTATACTGTCCATGGTATAAACAGAATGGGTCATTATTTAATAACAAGGCCTTGAGAAAAATTAACACCTTATAAGATCCCTACACTACCACACAGTATTGCAAAATGTGGTATTGGGGAAGTTAGATTTTAGTCAATCGTAAAATTCTTAACTTTAGAACTGTCTTGGGCTTTTTTTTACTGTTTAAAGACTAGAGCTAGGAGTATTTGGCCTTATACTGTAGAAATGATTTTTTGTACCTTAGGTTAATTGTTGTACAAGTATGTAAACTAACAATAATGGTTACTCAGTTTTCTGGTCAAAACAGTATGTTCAGTCTTAGAGAAACATGCAAATGCATAGTCACACATAGTCACAGGATGACTACAATATGACTATTATACATGCAACATACAAAAAGGTGAACACAGAATAGTACTGTACTGTACTAACATTATCAAACTGGTAACTATTCATATGTTACTGAATAGTACATGCCTGTGGCAGGCCACAACACCCCTGCCATACAGGCAGTAAATATTCATATACAGTACTGCCATACAGGCAGTAAATATTCATATACAGTACTGCTATACAGGCAGTAAATATTCATATACAGTACTGCCATACAGGCAGTAAATATTCATATACAGTACTGCCATACAGGCAGTAAATATTCATATATAGTACTGCCATACAGGCAGTAACTATTCATATACAGTACTGCCATACAAGCAGTAACTATTCATATACTGCCATACAGTCAGCAATACAGTTAGACTTGCTCAAGAAACCTAACTTCCACATAAACACAAGACCGATGCTACATAGCTTGCTACACATTCACACACGTGTAACATTAACAACATGTGGGACACAAACACACAACATTCTCTCTGCTCACAAGTCACTCTTGCTGCTGCTGAGTGAGGCAGAAGACCTGAGGGGGCGAGTAGAGGAATGTTCTGAAGCAATGTTGATGGTAGGCACAGTATACCTGCCTATCCAGGGGCTGTAGCCTCCCTGTGGGTGGAGGACACAAGTTACATCACCACTTGGCAAGCACCAGTAACAGTGGTGATCTGATAAATGTTGAAATTATTTTTGCATGTTTGTAGCAGATGTCATTTGATTCCCATTGTCTGGGACAAGAAGCGTGTTAGGTTTATCTGGGTTCCCCCTAGGCCGACGGGTGACCGTCTGCAAGATGTGATCCACAATAGTTGCCCAACTTACATGTAGTACTTTACTGCTAGGTGAAGAGGCATCAGATGAGTGTATTTGCACACATTTGTGAAGCAATAGAAATATACATATATCAAACCATACTGGAAAAACAGTGTAATAAATGGGTCTATTTGGACCTTAAAGTAAATGCATAAGTAGACATTTGATTGAAGTGATTAAGGTTTAACTTTCTTCTATGTTGCCTAGTATAGTATCTCAAATATTTCTAATATTTAAATGATTAAGTTCTTGGGGGTTTTGGTTAACCTGCATTGAATGTTTGCTAGTGATGTAATGTTTTGGAAATGGGGTCTTTATGATTAAATACTGTAGATTATCATAAGACAGTTTTGTACTTTCTAAAATAAAGGTTTCTGTATATAATAGCTTGCACAAAAAAGTTGTTGAGAAATTAGAAACTTTGCTAAACTGTTGCATCTATATATAAATGGACTAACACTTAGTACCTTTCCAACACAAAACATTTCATACATTAACTTGCAACAGCCCTCCTACTAACAAGATTATTACACTATCAAGAATGAATGCAACAAAATAATATCCCTAAATGGCAATTAAAGTAATAAATTTACATAACCACACTAATGCAATGATCAGCCATAAACTTTTCAATGCCTTTGTCTAATAGTTAGGGGACAAAAGTTACTTTAAATTACAGTTTCGTGGTAAAGTTCAAATTAAGGACTTTTCTTACATCCTCATACAGCCCAGCTATCAAAAGGCATCTGTTTGCTTTATCATGTGTCTTGAATATGGAGAAACAAAGCCACTGGGCTCAATGCGGTAACAAGCATGAGAATAGATTAATCTCTCAACTTCATTCACACGGAGACAAAATAATGAAATGTACCTTAGCATAACCTCTTAATACTGTAAAATACTTTATAATATTTTGATGCGCTGTAAAATAAGATTAAAATACCTGTGTAGGAGCCAGGTTTGGAGAAGCGTTGGTAGTGGCCATCAGGGAGTCATGATTTAGTGTCCCACTATCTAGGGAAGATCTGGGCCACAACACCTCACTCCCATCTTGCTCGGTGCTCTGTTGGGATTCCCTCCGCAGTTCCCTGTTCCATTTTGGAATTTTTAAAGGATGAGAAACATTACTCATTCCCTGCTGCACCACTTTTTTACGACCATGATCTGGTGCGTTTCTGGTATTGGCAGGTGCTTGCAACTGGGTGGTGGGTAGCAATGGCATAACACGAGTACAACGTCGCCCAATGAGTGGGCTGGAGCGAGAGCGTGGTGTTGGGTTGTAACATGCAGTGCTGTTTGTGGAAGGATATAAAGTACCAGCAGTTGTCATGGCTATCACTCGTCCTGAGCCCATTATACCTGTTAATATATAAACAAAAACTTTACAAAGGATGAAAATGTAGCAACAATATTTAAGACCTGCCAGAGAACATTATGCATGTTAGTGGCTTTGCAAGAATATAAGAATACCAATGATATGTTGTCTCACAAACCCAATGGACCTTATTGTATATAAATAAATTAATTAATAAATGTTCATCAATATCCCAATATTTCACATTAAAGTTTGAAGAAAACTTAACCACTAAAACCATTTAATGTTTAAGCAAGATTATATCATAGAATTTAATGAAGAATGGTCCTTATGATAAGATTACAGTGTAGAATCAATAGAACAGTTCATGATACAAAAAAATGGTTACAAATACAAACTTATTCTATGGAATTGGATAACTGTTAGGCTGAAGCACCTCACTACATTAGGACAATTCAACACAGGCATACTTAGTTAATTGTTTTCACAGTTTTTACTATCCAAACATCTTTAGTAACAGCCATATATACAGTAGACAAAGTCGTAAATGCCAAAACACTATTGAATTTCAAAATCCAGCTCGATAAAATCCTCAGGACAAATGGGGGGACTTTTGACAAGCTGCCAGCTTCCTATCCTTGTCAAGGCAACTGGAGAGATTGTGGCCCCTCAAGTAAATTTGGGTAAATAAATAAATAAATAAATAAATATAAATTCATATTTTTCTTAGGAACGATATACTGTACTTATTCTCCTACAACCAAATGTACAAGAGAGTTTGTAATGTGACATGTTTTCTGTATGTACAGTACCATAGTCCTAATTTAACTGGACACATCCCAACCATGTACAGTAAGTACCTTTATCCCCTGTGTTTGTCTGGTTGACTGATTTTTACCATCTCAGAACACTTTCATACCTGTAGTTTTAGGGCGCTTCACAGAATCACTTATAACAAAAACAGGTCTGGTGGGCGAATTAGAAGTGTCAGCCACTGGTGGAAGATCTGTTACAGCAGCGCGGGTTTGGGGCAATACTGTAGCTGGAGTTGCTTTTTCACCCTTTTCCACTGCCAAGGAAGCCACCTCCAGCCGCACAGGGTATGCCATCTGTTAAGAAAATAATTAATTAGGTATGAATCAAGTTTATTGTACCTAGCATTCCTCAAATTACTCAAATCCATGTAGAATTGTGATAATAATGCAATATAAACCAATAGAATTTTACCAGCCAGCTAATCAATCCCACCTATGCTTCACATGCCTATCCTTCCTTCCTTGTGATAATCCCTCCCCTTCCTCCACTGGTTCATCCTAATAATAATAATCCCTTACTAATAATGAGAGCAATAACTACATTAATAGTCTAACATTGTCAATCACCAGTTAATGACCGATTACCTTACATGGATCACACCTTATATCACCAGTTGATTGTAACTACCCCAGTCACATGCTCTCCTGACACTTATTCAGACATGCCGGTCTCTCATTTTGGGATTGTCTGAATGAAATTAATGAGTAGTGAAAAAGATGTTACTGCTATTTGTTTAGGGGCAACACAACTAGAGGATCATATGCCCACCGGCTACCCAGTTTTGAGAAATGAGGAAAGGGATGAGATATCCTTAAGGAGATATCCTCTCCTGACACTTATTCAGACATGCCGGTCTCTCATTTTGGGATTGTCTGAATGAAATTAATGAGTAGTGAAAAAGATGTTACTGCTATTTGTTTAGGGGCAACACAACTAGAGGATCATATGCCCACTGGCTACCCAGTTTTGAGAAATGAGGAAAGGGATGAGATATCCTTAAGTCTCATCAGACAGTGGGGAATGGATGAGGAAGACAAAAAATGCAAAAAAATCAGATAGGCTGTCATGAGTGACAGACTTTCAAGCAAAATACTGTCACACTAGACATGCTGTCAGGCTGTCAGCATGTTACTGTTAAGTAAGACAGACTGTCAGGAAATAGACTGCTGTCTAATAGACTTTTCAAGCTACACAGGCTGTCAGACATGACAGACTAGATAGGCTGTCAGGAAACAGACTCAGGCATAACTGACTGTCAGGTATGACAGACTAGACAAGCTGTCAGGTGAGAGATTATCAGGCTGAACAGACTGTCTGACAAGAGTCAAACTGTTAAGCTAGACTGGCAATCAGGCTAGACAGCTGCCAGGTTGAATAGACATATCAAACAGGACACCAAATAAAGTCCTAGAGGTGGGTGGACGATCACAGTTACACACAATTGGGTAAATTACTTCGGTAATTACACGTGTTCTTCCTGTTCAATCCACCCCACTTAACCCATGCCACTGCATATCACCTCTTAATAATTATTCATTGTGTCAGTGGACAGGAAACCAGAGTATTTATACACGTTTCGGCTTTTAATATAATAATTCGCTGTGTCGGGGGACAGTTAGCCACTGTGTATTCATTCACGTTAGGCTTTTATCGAAGTCCTCCCCCGAAAGGCCGAATTACTGACCCCGCCCAGGATGCAACCCTACAACACGCTGGCTAACCCCTAACGTACTGCTAGGTGAACAGACCCGTCAGGTGAAAGGAAATGTGCCCAACTTTCTATTCCCGCTCGGGATTCGAACCCAGAATTTTCGATTGTGCGTCGAGAATGAACCAGTTTGTACTATCGAGACCCTCTTGTAGAATGATATGACATTATATGCCTTAAACTGATGCAAAAACCATTGTAATTTTTGCGAGTATAATATAAGTAAACAAATTAACTATTTCCCAAATGAGATTCATCATGTATCAGTCGTGTGTGATTTTGTGGGTCACTGAGTCCGTATGAGGTCCGCATCTCGACAACAATGTGATCTTTTCATGTAATATTAAAACCCCTCTAATTGAAACCCACAAACCTAGTCCCACACCTTGACATCCACATGCAGACACTCTCAAACCGATACCCACACCTACATGTTAATTACACCTACTCCCGAGACACACCGACGCTCAAACCACACAGGTTCACACAAAGGTAGGAATCTGTACACCAATTGATTGACAGTTGTGAGGAGGGACCAAAGAGCCGAAGCTCAACCCCCGCAAGCACAACTAGGCGACACCCAATCCCGACGCTCACACCCATTCCTGACACCCACCCACACTCACCCGACACGAACACACCCATTACCGACACATCATGCAATCATCTCCTGATACACTTTCCGAAATCGATGCTCACATGCCAGCACCCACACCTATGTATACCCACACCCATGTTCACGCCCACATGCCAGCACCCACACCCACATGCCAGCACCCTTACCCATGTTCACACCCACATATCAACACCCACACCTATATTCATGCCTACATGCCAGTACCCACACCCATGTTCACGCCCACGTACCAGCACCCTCACCCATGTTCACGCCATATGCCAGCACCCACACCCATGTTTAAACCCACATGCCAGCACCCACACCCATGTTTAAGCCCACATGCCAGCACCCACACCGATGTTCACATACACATGCCAGTACCCACAATGTTCACGCCCACATGCCAGTACTCACACACATGTTCATGTCCACATTCCATTACCCGCACCCATGTGGTTCAGAGATGTCCAGAAAACATGTGGCTTACCGATAATCACCAATCAATGACTAATTACCATGTGTGACACATCATCAATGACAAATCAATGCTTGCGAAGCTCACCATGCCAATTACCAATGTCTGTAAATATCCAATTGCGTCGCTTACACCATCAGTCAATGACTGTAACTAACCCCCACCCACCTTCCTCACAATGTTCAAAAGAGAATGCTATAAACACCTTCAAATGATTCCTGATCAACCAGGTTGTAACTCATACATCAGCCTACGAGAAGCCGCGTCCAATTGCCTGGTTGACCACCAGAAATTACTAACTACATCACGTGGCTCACTCTATCAATCACCAATGACTAACAGTAACTAGCTTGGCTCGCACCATCAATCACTAATGACTAACAGTAACTAGCGTGGCTCGCACCATCAATCACCAATGACTAACAGTAACTAGCGTGGCTCGCACCATCAATCACCAATGACTAACAGTAACTAGCGTGGCTCGCACCAACAATCACCAATGACTAAGAGTAACTAGCGTGGGTCTCACTATCAGTTACCTCGTCAATAACTTAACAATACCTGGCGTGGCTCGCACCAATCAATCAGCAATTCGTTCTGCTTACCGGCATCGATTATAACCCACTCACACGCGTCTTAATTCTCTGCAACAACATATATTGCATAGAAGGTCGATCGTCTACCCTCAGTATAAATAGTTTTGATTCGTATGTCCGCTGGCTATTCAGGTCCATGTTAAATTGTCTCGAGAGTTTCTTAAAAGGCTGATTGTCCAATCGTTTAAAGTGCCTTTATATAATAAGAGGCAATCAAGCAAAAACTCTTTCAAGTTCTCTCTTGAAACCAAATTATGTTACAGAATAAAGTATTGAACATCATTCACACTTATCAATGACGCTTGGGAAATTGAGTTCCAGAACTTATATCGAGTATTTTAGTTATTATTGTTAGCTCAAATTAAGACTTTCCAGAAACGTTATACAGTAGTAATACATGCGTTGGTCTATTATAGTGACTTTAATAAAGACCTTTTAGTGGTTTTGAGTGAACGTATGCCATGACTAAAACTCTAGGGAAACCGCACCATATGTTTCACTTGACTATATGAAAATCGCACAGGGATGGGTGTCAATAAATGCTATTTTATTTAAACCATTTAACTTAGACATACCCTGACCAGTCTATGTTCGTCCCTTATCCCAGCCTATTTCCCTGCAAATTTGGGTGAGGCTCTCCCCAAGAGTCTGACCTTAAGCTTTGGATAGACATTCTCTTATAGTATTTATTTTATTTTTTATTTATACATATACAAGTTTCATTGGGTTATGAGAGTATATAGCATGATGTTTTTACATTCTTGTAATACCACTAGTACACACAGCGTTTCGGGCAGGTCCTTAATCTAGCAGACATTAAGTAGGTAATTTTTCTACCAAAATTTATAAAATGTTAATTAACAGGTACATTGAAAGAAAATTTTAGAAGATTAGTAAGTATATTAAAGCACATTGAATATATATATATATATATATATATATATATATATATATATATATATATATATATATATATATATATATATATATATATATATATATATATATATATAATTATGACAATGTCAGACCACGGAGGAAAAATGAAACAGGAAATTTCCTTAAGTACTTTCGTATATTAAATACACTATATATATATATATTGACCTTCTAAATACAGTATATTAAATATTGACCTTCTGAAGATGTATTTAATATACGAAAGTACTTAAGGAAATTTCCTGTTTCATTTTTCCTCCGTGGTCTGACATTGTCACATTCTTAATCACGTGTTTATTTTCGTGATATACACACATATATAATTATATATATATACATACATATACATAGTAGATATATATACCTGTAACCTGCTCATATGAATGTATTGTAATTATGCAACAACTTTACAAACCCCGTGTATCTTTTTGTAAACTAATAAGTTGGTACGGCCTAGGCAAATTTCATGATACACAGTACTGTATAACGCATGGTATATAATCATCACCAATTAGTTTAGTATAAGAAATATATTGGAATCCAATGTCTGAACTAATTATGTCTCAGGCTTCTCCACGGGACAGGTAGAAACAGGCCTGGGTACATTAAATCATAATTTGTTTCCCTGCCGGCATCACGATCCATCAAATTTCCGCCAAGACATACAGGCATCTCAAACACCCTCCTCCCTCCCCCAATTCTTACTATAACCCACCGTTTGTATGATACAGTTAAAGACAGGACTGCCTTTTCTCACCGCGTGTACACTGGTCCTCTGCCTCCTGAAGCAGCGCTCTGCAGCTTCCTTGTTGCTCCCTCCTTGCCTCCTGCGTCACTGAAGAATATTTGGGGGACCCAGAGTGGGCAACACGTCCTCTCAATCGTTAGGCAGAACTTTGCTATGACTTTGGCTTTATACGGGTTACCTTACGCAAAATGCGTATTATAATTATGACCTAATATAAAACAAGTAAACCCAAGTAATATAGCATATAAATAATAATAATACATAATCTTAACATAAAGAATTGATTACTGTATGGAGGTTCCTGAGACTACTGAACACGCCATTGCCATGGTAACCTCAGGAGATGCAGGTTAGCCAATTTTCCCCATGGATATATAATTATTCCTATCACTATTGATGTATTGAAATAGTGATACAGCAATGGAAAGCGTATTGGGCGGTGGGCACCGACACGTGTGGGCGAAATGTGGATGAGATGCTACTCGTGTGAGTTGATGTAAATGGGTAAATGGAACCTTGGGAAATGAAGCTGTGTAGATGTGCTAGTGGGTGGGGCATGGACCTGTACTCACCTAGTGCTTGCGGGGGTAGAGTTCCGGCTCTTTGGTCCCGCCTCTCAACTGATGTACAGATTCCTAAGCCTATTGGGATCTATCATATCTACATTTGAAACTGTGTATTTAGAAGTCTGCCTCCACGACATCACTTCCTAATGCATTCCATTTATTAACTACTCTTAGACACTAAAAATAAATTCTGTCTGTGGCTCATTTGGGCACTAGACCAGGCCTTCTATTTGTTACACACACCCCAGGAAGCAGCCCGTAGCAGCTGTCTAGATACCTATTTACTGCTAGGTAACAGGGGCATCAGGGTGAAAGAAGCATTTTCCCTATTTGTCTCTGCCTCCACCGGGATCGAACTCGGGACCGCAGGACTACGAATCCAAAGAGCTGTCCGGCCCCTTAACTACATTTGGTGATCCCATTTAGTCCTTTACCACACTTATATCTGCCAACCTACCAGCTCCAGCACTATTATATATAACGCCTCCTTCAGGAAAACGCTATTCAAGAAGAAGTACAAATTTACATCTCAATAAGACTACAAAATATCTCTGAAAGTAATATAAAATGCTTATTTTAGGCTTGCTTAGTTGTCAATTCCTAATCCTGTCACTCGCAAGTACAGATAAAACCATAACCAAATTCTCAATGCTTGAATACATTATCGTAAACCCACAAGAATTATTAGGGAAACTAGTTCAGTTAACTTCTCTTAAATGAGCCTTTGGGTTATTTCTATGACATAGTAGCTGGTGCGTTGTGTAGTTTGCTAGCACTCAAGTTTACTGTAATACCATAGTAAACTAAGATTTTCACGAGGAACATTACATATGTTGAAGTTCTAAATGCTTCTTTTTATTAGCTACAAAATACTTAAAAAGTTGGCCTTAGTAAGCTATATATACTTACTGCATCTAGTTTTATTATTGAAAGGTAAGTGGATGTGGGTATCATTGGGTAACACACAGAAATCACAATTGCGTGATGCATCAAATGAACAAAATGAACAGGATCCAGTAAGTTCAGTAGAACTTCGGTTTCAACTCTTTTTACCATGTCGTAGCTCAGTCGATTAAGGCAGCGTCTGGGATGCTCTCGGACGCAGGTTCGAATCCTCGTCACGGCCCTTGTGGATTTGATCATTGGGTAGTTTAGTACCATTAATGCTTGCCATTACCTGGGTTGCTAGCAGGCTTTGTCCCAGAATATTTACCTGAATTTACAAATTTTAGATGGTATAGTGTACTACATATAAAACTTAGTTTTCATTTTTCTTGATTAGAATGTATGTTGCATTTTTTCCCAACGAGATGTAATTATGAAGGATTTTCTGAGAAAGATATATATTGTAGTAGGACAACAAAATTAGGTAAAACCAAAGGTAAAAAATTCTTTGACAATCAAGCTGAAACAAAACAAAGGGCATCATCTAAGCAATCTTAATATAAAAGTTTTGAAATATTAAGGTCTTTTAGGCAGAATGACAGCCGTGAAAATTAAATTTAAATTGTGAATATTATTCACAAGCCCCAAGTGCAGAAGAATTTATATTAAAAAATTAGTTAATAAAAGGCTAAATATATATAGAATCAAGAGGTAAAATTCAAACATGTGTTCAGCAACTTCGAAATACTGTACTGTATATGTTAACAGTATATTATTTTAAGCATACTTCACTAAAACAAATATTTTGATTTAAATTACAGTTACCTTAATCTGAAATAACTATCCAGTTCTCCTTGTCATCCATATGCTTAAAAGTAAACGATGATGTCGCATGTTGGCCATGGAAATAGTATTCAAACTATTTCATGTTCACCAGCTCACCACGGTGAGGTCTGCGACTACGAGCTGGACCAGGGTTACTCGTCCGAGAGAATCCTCCAAGGATATCCTTCATGAAGGAATTCCAAGAAGGAACTCTCTCGTTGCGTTGAACCCTAAACAACGCACCAAGGGTTACTTCGGGATATCTGGTGATAGTTAGACTATCGCCAGACATCGCTCACCAATAGCAAGCTACTGGTGATGTGTGTTGATGACCACCCACAAGGAGTGGCAGTAAAAAAAAAAGGGGGGAAAAGGAAATGGGAAAATTTGGATGTAATTCATTGTGTCGGGGGACAGGAAGCCTGTACGTATGGATACACGTTAGGCTTATATCAAGGTCCCCCCCATCAAGGTCGAATTACTGACCCCGCCCAGGATGCAACCTCACAAGCTGACTAACACCTGGGTACCTACTTACTGCTAGGTGAACAGAACCATTAGGTGAAATGAAATGAGATCAGATCAAAATGTGATCTGTCCCGCCCGGGATTCGAACCCGGAATTCTCGATTCTTGAGAATTTGGAGTGTAAACATAAAAAGTACTCCTTGGGAATCAGATTCCCAAGCAGTCATCTTGGGAATCAGATTGAGTATGACAAGTCCAATCATTACGTAACATGGATAGAGCCCACAAAAGGGAGTCAGGCGAGTTCTCGCGACGATTCAGTGAAAGTTTGGTAGTCCATTCCTTGTGAAACATGGACACAGTCCACAAAACAAGGCCAGATGGGGCTCTCCTGAGAGTCCAATCCTTGGAAAACATGGACAGAGTCCACGAACAGTCAGATGGGTTCTCTTGATAGTCAAACGATAGTTTGACAGTATAACCCTTGGGAAACATGTAGTCCACAAAAGGAAGCCAGATAGGCTCTCCTGAGTCCAATCCTTGGAAAACATGGACTGAGTCCACAAAGGAAGAAAGATGAGTTATCTTGAGAATCCAAAGAATATGGTAGTCCAATCCTTGTGAAACATGGACACAGTCCAAAGAAGGAATCCAAATGGGTTATCTTGAATCCAATGATAATTGGAGTCCAATCCTTGGGAAACATGGACAGAGTCCATAAAAGGAAGACAGATGGGCTCTCTTGAATCCAATGATAATTGGAGTCCAATCCTTGAGAAACATGTAGTCCACAAAAGGAAGCCAGATTTGCTCTCCAGAGTTCAATCCTTAGAAAACATGGTCAGAGTCCACAAAGGAAGCAAGATGAGTTATCTTGAGAATCCAAAGAATTTGGTATAGTCCAATCCTCGTGAATCATGGACACAGTCCACAGAAAGAAGCCAGATGGGTTATCTTGAGTCCAATGATAATTGGAGTCCAATCCTTGGGAAACATGGACAGAGTCCATAAAAGTTACCCTGATGAGTTCTCTTCAAAATACAATAATTTGGCAGTCCAATCCTTTTAAAATGTGGAAAGAGTCCACAATAGGAAGCCAGATGGGCTCTCCTGAGAGTCCAATCCTTGGAAAACATGGGAGTCCACAAAAAAGCCAGATGGGCTCTCTTGAATCCAATGATAATTGGAGTCCAATCCTTGAGAAACATGTAGTCCACAAAAGGAAGCCAGATTTGCTCTCCAGAGTCCAATCCTTAGAAAACATGGTCAGAGTCCACAAAGGAAGCAAGATGAGTTATCTTGAGAATCCAAAGAATTTGGTACAGTCCAATCCTCGTGAATCATGGACACAGTCCACAGAAAGAAGCCAGATGGGTTATCTTGAGTCCAATGATAATTGGAGTCCAATCCTTGGGAAACATGGACAGAGTCCATAAAAGTTACCCTGATGAGTTCTCTTCAAAATACAATAATTTGGCAGTCCAATCCTTTTAAAATGTGGAAAGAGTCCACAATAGGAAGCCAGATGGGCTCTCCTGAGAGTCCAATCCTTGGAAAACATGGGAGTCCACAAAAAAGCCAGATGGGCTCTCTTGAATCCAATGATAATTGGAGTCCAATCCTTGAGAAACATGTAGTCCACAAAAGGAAGCCAGATTTGCTCTCCAGAGTCCAATCCTTAGAAAACATGGTCAGTCCACAAAGGAAGCAAGATGAGTTATCTTGAGAATCCAAAGAATTTGGTACAGTCCAATCCTCGTGAATCATGGACACAGTCCACAGAAAGAAGCCAGATGGGTTATCTTGAGTCCAATGATAATTGGAGTCCAATCCTTGGGAAACATGGACAGAGTCCATAAAAGTTACCCTGATGAGTTCTCTTCAAAATACAATAATTTGGCAGTCCAATCCTTTTAAAATGTGGAAAGAGTCCACAATAGGAAGCCAGATGGGCTCTCCTGAGAGTCCAATCCTTGGAAAACATGGGAGTCCACAAAAAAGCCAGATGGGCTCTCTTGAATCCAATGATAATTGGAGTCCAATCCTTGAGAAACATGTAGTCCACAAAAGGAAGCCAGATTTGCTCTCCAGAGTCCAATCCTTAGAAAACATGGTCAGTCCACAAAGGAAGCAAGATGAGTTATCTTGAGAATCCAAAGAATTTGGTACAGTCCAATCCTCGTGAATCATGGACACAGTCCACAGAAAGAAGCCAGATGGGTTATCTTGAGTCCAATAATAATTGGAGTCCAATCCTTGGGAAACATGGACAGAGTCCATAAAAGTTACCCTGATGAGTTCTCTTCAAAATACAATAATTTGGCAGTCCAATCCTTTTAAAATGTGGAAAGAGTCCAC